GGGTCAGCTCACAAAATAAGTCCCTGGTTCAACTAAAAGTCAGTAACATTGCAATGCGTGGAACCTGTTGGTTGTAAGTCATTTATTTCCTTGATTTTGAAAGGATTTAAACAATCACATTTAGGATTATTAGGGCCAAAAAGTTTACTTTTCACATCTGTGGCAAAACATTATGCATGCCTGTGAATAAGTAATCCATTTCCCTCCTTCTCTTATCAAACCTGAATGCATCAAATTACTTACGTTTTTCTGAAATTCAGTAATTATCAAGAGTGTGGAATTTGTTTGTCTGAAAAAAAAATATTAGGGATGTCACCTGCATTTCTGAACTGGATTAGGGCATGCTATTCTCCATTCTATTTCCTGTTCTTTCCCTTCCCCCTTTCTTGATCAAACCTTTTGGTAATGCACATCTAATTATTAGGGGTATGCACTAAGCATGAAATTTTGCTTGCACTCCCAAAGCCACTTCCGGGCCTGCCCCAGGAGGTGGGGTTGCGGGCATCACACCCTCCCCACGTGAGTGGGGGCTGGGTTCAGCCCCCGCGAGAACAGGGGAATCCCGACCGTCCACGCCTCCCAGCCAGCCAATCGGCTGGCTGGGGGGGCGTGGCTTGCCCTATTTAGGGCCGGAGCAGAGGGGGCTCGCCCTCTCTTCTCCGGCTAGCCCCCACGTTTTCCCACCCTCCCTCCCTTTAGTTGGGGTTTTAGGTAGGTCTGACTTTGCTATGGACTTCGGTCTGTCGCCGCAAGGGCATGGTAGGAATTTTTCCCAATTGGCCATTTACAGCCTTTTGGTTTTTCGCCTATTCTGTAGCAACTCGTCACAACTCTTTCGGCATTGGCGGTAGGCATTGGTAAGATGGGGTTAAGAGGATGTGTGTGGGGGGGAGGAACGCCATCACCTCCCCCCAATGAGCGAAGGGTGGTCCGTTAAAGGACTCCGGGGGGCGTGGCCCTGTCCGAAGCCTATGGAGGTGAGGGCCAAAGGCACGCCCCAGAGCGGTGACCCGGGGAGCTCCTAGCCGACGTGCCTCGGCGGGAGACTCCCCCGATTAGTGTTAACCCTTCCCCGTGTCTCCAGCAAATGGGCTGGAGCCGGATAGTCGATAGGACTAATGCCTAAGCCAATGCCTCTCATTCCTGAATTCAATAATTGGCCTAATTCGCCCAATTAACCTTAATTATGGTGTCTCGTGTGTTTATTTATCTTGGTGGGGGGCGGGAACTCGCCACGCAATTCAGCTGCTTGGAAGTAAGCCTGATTTGCTTCTGAGGACATCTGCTTCACCTCAGGTTTGAATGAGAACCTGTGAAGCTTTGTGTCTCCACATTCACTGTCATGGGGAAATAATAAAGCAGTTCTAATGCCGTTAACTTTTGGTGACATTCGATGGAATTTGTGTGCTTAGTAGCCCCTGCGGAGTGGATAGGAAGCCTGCCAAATTTCAGACAAATATTTGTGGGGGCATTTTTGCTGGTCACTTTTCTCATTTAGTCTCATTTAGAAGAGAGAGCAGAGTCCATATAACTTTTTTTCTGGCAGAATTGCATGGAAATTGAAGGCTTGATAGCCCCTCCCGAGGGGGTGAATACTGCTAAATTTCAGAAGTGTAGGTGCAGGAGTAAAGGGCAGCCTTTACCATTTTGAGTTGTTGAAAAGGATTGGCCATGATGAATATGTTCTGCCTCCATTGTTGGAGAAAGCATGTATCTGAATGGCAGTTGCTGAGAATCACAAGTGGAGAAAGAGAGGGAAGTTGTGCTTGTTTTCTTCTTGTGAAACAGGCATCTGGTTGCTCACTATGTGAGGCTGGACTTGATGGGCCATTAGCCTGATCCAGCCAGCCATTCTTATCTCCTTGTGATTACTGTTGTTTTGTGGGCAATTTTCAAGAAAACAACAAACATCAAAGAGGTGCTCTTGATAAAGAAGCCAGTGAAATTTCAGAAGCATTCATGTGGGTATAAGGAATAAGAAAACAGTTCGTGGTTCTTCCTGGGCTTGTTTTCTGTCCAATTGACAATGAGCAAATTCATTCCTTCTGCATCCTTTCCCAGGCCACTGTGATTTACAATAAAATGGAGAGTCCTGGAAAAGCTATTCTCTGTTTAGAAGCTAGAATTGACAGTCAAAAAACTTCACCTCTCATCTTCCTCCTACAATTGCCCTTGTCCTTAAATGGGAAAATGTAACTATTTGAAAAACACAGTCTGAGCCTGTCCAAGTTCTCTGGGACCTCCAAAGCAGTCTAAATGCTTCAGAAGCAGCCTGATTCAGTTTGGGACACCTCAAAGGATACCCACTTGATCTCAGGAGAGCCTCATATCTCTCTGAAACTGCCATTTTTATTTTCACGTTTTGGGATTCATCAGAATCAAATGCATGCCCCCTGATATTTATAGTGGTAATGTTATACTAGACACTAGTATAAATCTCTCATGTCTCCCTGAAGACCCCTAAGTTGATTCATTTTCAACAAACTCTTGCTGTTAGAATTGGGTCTTCCTGATTCTTTAGGATAAGAACCCAGCCTTGCTTCCCAACTGTGAACAATGACCACAGTCTTATGCACACTTACTAGGAAGTAACACCCATTGATTTTAGAAGGTCTTACTTTTGAATAAAATGAATTAGGGTTGCACTCCTAGGATTGTACTCCTGGTAACTGTCTCAGATGCCCCCGATACTGGTCCAGAAATGATCTGATTTACCATCATCATCATCAAATGTGCTAATTTCCTAAGCCAATGGAAGGGGCTTGGGAAATGAAGCACACCCACTCACCAGCTCTGCACCCCTAAAATGACCAACCACATCCTCTTTGTTTACCTGCAAGCAGGGATGCTTGCAGTAGCAGCATCAGAATATTTTTCATCTCTCTGCCCCACCCCCTTACTTATTGATGTACTTAAACAGCAGTGGCCTTTGGAACTGCAAGTCTTCTAAAGGGCTACTGCAATAAAACTGCTTCTTGTAGCCTTAGGGAGCCTTTACATCAAAATCTATTGCCATTGCCATGTACTGTCTTGGGGATAAAGGTCTTCTGCAATTTACAGCTGATCAAAACTCAACTTTGGGAGTCCAGAGAGCTATGTTAAATTATTGTTTTAAAAGGTTAATCCTGGCACCACATTCTTCTAAGTAAATAAAGGTCAAACTTCCCACAGCAAATGCTACTCACCATCTCTACATCTGTGTTTGGGATGAGTAAAAAAAAAAAAGCAAAGGTTTTCAGTTTTCAGACCAATAAATGCAGTTGCCCATTTGCAATTGTCCATAATTTTCAGATACATGGAAATGCTATTTCATTGAGAGTGACTTGTGTTTTGCTTCTTTATTGAAACATGCTTTCATTCAAGGAAAACAAAAATAACAATGGAATCTAACAGCTTATAAAGGAAAGCATAGAAAGTGATAGGACAGAGGTGTGTGTGAAATCAAGATTGCTATGGAAATGTATTATGAAAATCTTATTTAAACTTCAGCATAATAAAACCCACTGGTAGAATGATTAAAAAGAAGGAGAAGTATTGGGCTGGCTTGTGGAATTTTTTTCCTTGATGAAGAGAAACATTAATAGTCTGATAACAAACAATACAAGGCCTTTAGTATTATTATTATTTTTATTTATTTATTTATTTATTTATTTATTTAAAAGCTATTACATGATCTAACAGATGGATGTAACTTTATGTCAAGTTGCAATAGGAACTTGTGGTGCTTCAAGTGTTGTTGGACTCCAGTTCTAATCAGTCCCAGGCAATATGTCCAATAGTCAGAGATCATGGGAGTTGGAGTCCATCCTTGTCCAATAAAACTTGAAATTGGCTGACAGGGGAATGCAGCAGGGCATCTCAGTGGTTTCCTAGCAACTGCTCTGTGCAGTTTTGCCCCAGAGCTAATCAAGAGACCCAATGGGAGACATTTTT